TTAGTTTTAAAAAAATTGTGTTAATGAAAAATTTAATTGAGGCTCGTTTTGTTCTGTTTAATTCCAATTATGAATAGATCCTAATTTTATATAACAAATCCGTTCAAAAACCGAGAATCGAGAATGGCCTATTCGGCACTGAGTAATTTAAAGTAGATTGTGAAAGCGTCTCATGTCAGCATCTCTACAAGGTTAATTTCAGCATAATCTTCCTCCTATTTGAAAATTTCAACATCTTATTTCAGGTTGTACTGCTCAAATTTCCCAAACTAGGCAAAAGCAGAAGGGATTGATGGTGAGTAGAGAGATGTGAGCAGAATGTACTTGATTACCATTAATCGCTATGGAGAAATAAAATGACACAAGTTAATCTCATGTAGTGAATTCCGAGCTCACCAAGAGTATCTTATGCATATATCTTAGAATGGACCAATGGAGTAAACTCCCCTTAAACCGCAAATGCAGCAATCTCGTATCAATTGTTTGAATAAAAAGACTTTCTGAACACTAAATTTATTTTATTTGTGGAAATTCAAACAGAATGGCAGGGCAGAGTGGTTGATAAAAACGGAAAGTATTTGATGCGAAACCGATTCCTCCGGTGGCACAGAATAGCGTCTAGGAGACTCGGTAAATGGATTTATCCTACGCGCCACCTCCGGGGAGAGAGGAAGGAATGAAGACGACCTTGGTTTCCGCCCCCATGAAGGTCCATGCAGCCAAGAACACCAACTCGGAGCCTCAATCCCGCGCGTCACACGAAGAAATTGCTTTTGAATGGGTGGGAGAAGGACCCATATAAATCTATTCCCGGACGGACAAGAGAGTCGTGAAGGAGGCTTCATTGTCATCGTCTGCTTCCCGGCTCTCTATTCGTGGTCTCATTCCAAATTCGTTCTCTTCGCATCTGCACCTCCTACATGGGAAATACAGTTTCACTTTCCACTTGGAATCGTTATTGCCTTAGAATGATTCAATTAATACAATTCAATTCAGAGAAATAAATTGAAGAAGGAATATCACTGAGTTGGCTCTTCAGCCGTGAACCATCCTATCTTCCTATCATCCTATCTTCATTGTTAATCGATAACTTGACTCGGGGCCAAGGAAAAAAGTTTCCTTTTTTCTTGAGGCTCAGGCACCATTGAAATGTATCTAATTTCACGGATAAGACAACATAGGTTATTAATGATTCACCCTTACTCTGATGCACTGAGTGAATGAAACACAAGATACTGTTTATCTCTTTGAGGACAAACTAAGGATATTTCGGTGTCTTCGGGACGAATTTCTTCTGGCGTGGCAACCAAGAACTAATACTACAGTTCCTCGTGTAAAAATTTGTCTGGTGATGAACTTCTACCTGCACATTGGATCAATTCGTGCTAAGGAAGGTTGAAACAGGTTCATGAACGCAGATATTCATACAGCATTCAGCGTCTCAACATAGAATGCTTGAATCAATGGATGCCTCATTCCCACAATGTGTCTACTCCAGACACTTAAATGGATGCTGGTTCGGAGGCATTTTCACCCGATGCTTGCAGGCGAATTCCGAAGGCACACATGGCAATCGATGCCATCTGAGAGGAACTCGCTTTGAACACAGTTCTTAGGTTTATATTACAGTCGAACTCGGTTATAACGTCATCGAAGGGACCAGGTAAATACCGTCGTAATAACCGAGGTTTCGTTATAACCGAGTTCTACTGTAATTGCCATTTAACGCCATGATCGAATCACTGAACACATTCATTTGTGACTCGGGTCATGACCGAGTCGGCATTGTACGATGCAAGTCGGTGCTACGTGCCTCGGGTGAGTACCGGATGAGAACGGAATCCATCGATCGTGATTTGACCTCTCCCTTTAAACCTAATCTAATCATTCAGAGAGAGCCCGATCGCTTCACTGAGCTGATTTCGATGGAAAGAGGAATGGAGTGTGCCCGTGACTCCTGTGCAAAAGAAGCCGCTAAACTCCGACGTCCTGAAAGGAGAGAGGAGATAGATCCGTTGGTCATAGGTGATGGGCGGAACTGCCAACTTTTCAGGCACCGCATATTTTCCCCATCTGATTCTACCTTTATTTCCTTCCTCCACAAGTAGACACCGCTTAGAATTAAACAGGAGAATCCACCGCACAAAAAGGAATAGCGGGAACCGGAAAGCGAAAATGACCACAGCCGAAAAGGTCCCACATGAAAATTTCATTCGATGCATTCCCGGCTGTATACGGAGATACTCTTGCCAAACGATCTATTTAGCTTTTCCATACACGTAGGAGGCGATTTGTTAAGAAACTCAAAGGGGCTCAAAGACAGTACTCCTTTGCAAGTATTCATTACTCTCGCGTCTTTGCTGTCTTCCCTCCTCCCTCCATCACTACTTACCTGTAGGGTAAAACTACCAATGTTCGGACAGTTAGGCCGGGATAGGGTTGCAATTCGTTCATCACGCCTTGATGGTACAACCCAGATACTTCATTTATTTGCATCCGGCAGCACAATATGAGTAGGTACGAGTGTGATAAAGATTATGACTATTGAAGCCTTATGACTTCTAATAATTCCTATTACGTGGGTGTCCGAACATAGAAGAGAGTGACAGAAAGAGAAGTCGTTCGCGGCTTACAGCTCGTGAAGTGTCTAATCACCTTCAGTGTCGTACGGATGAGCTTCATTCATAACATGAGAAATACTACGTACATGCAGAAAACGAGTCCTTGTGTTCGGTGTGCTTTAACCCAGTGGTTCTCAAACGGTGGGACGTGACCAGTATCCATTAATTAAAGAATAACAAATAACATATTAACAAATGTTATATAGCTTTTAAGTGTAGTGGACCTTGAATCACTTTGCAGTTGTTAAATTTGGCCGCGGGATCGAAAAGACTGAGAACCACTGTCCTAAGCGATATTGATCTGTTGAAACTGGAGGGCTTGCAGTTCGTTTCATTTGAAAGAACACGGTCACATCAACTTTGGTTAGCCACATTATGGTTGATGAATCGATTCGAAATCAGGAAGAGGGGCTTATGTTCAGTGAATGGAGTGGGAGCAAGACGAAGGGAGGGAAATCTCATCCAATTTCGTTCGTTATTCAAGCATTCATTTTGTTCGAGCTCGTTCTAAGTAGACTCCAAAGAGCGGAACGTAAACTGAGAAGCTGCCTTTTATTATTTTATACCACAGGCATGCACATAAATCTGCTCTCACCGTATGAGAGAGACGAAGAGCTGAGGCATAATATCATATGCTGAGGCATATCGGAATAGATGGACCGGTTGCTCCCTTCAGACCATCACGGGAGAGACCGAGAAGAACACAAAAAAAGTACGTGAGAAACAGGGGAGGAATCTCTGACACTAAGCAGTTATCTCTCTCTTCTCACCTCGAAGATGAAGAGTTGATAGAGTACAGGACGATGGGAAGGTCATCGCTCTCAATCTGTCGATTCTGTCACTCTGTTCCTCACCTCTGGGATAAGAGATGAGAGAAGTAGACGGGGGGCAATGGGAGGGTCACCGCTCTCAATCTCTCAATCTCAATCTCTCGCCCTTCCCTTTCTTAACTGGATCCGCGTTACCAGTAGATGGATGAACTCTTTCCTTGTTGATGATTCACTCCGGGACAGTCCTTCAGCGCTAGCACGCACTCATTCAGCTCGGAGGCGACCTCTCCTGATTGAAAATCAACAACTCTCGTTACATTTCCCAAACATAGGTGGCATTGGCGGGTAGAAGTCACAGGCATTGCTAAACTCATAACTTAGAAGTTTTTGTCTAGCTGATAATTCACTTTGGGGGAACCCCCTTCTCCGGATCTTGGTGACGCAAAAGAAAAGGTGGATAAGACGGGCTTATACATTGGCGCGTTATGGCAAACCTGCGGTTCTGACTGCTTATGGTAGTGATTGCGGCTTCAGATAAGCCTAGTACGTTATCTGGGCAGATAGATGTTGTTGAAAACGTCAGTACATAGTTCACAAGTCCGTAGCCAGCAGGAGGGGGGGGGGGGTAATACATACTGTCATGAGAGTTTCCGAATGCAAACCTTCCATCTCGAACCACTTGATTGGTCTCATCGTTCTCTCCCTTTTCATCTTCGACCCCTTTGTCTGAGACAAGGGTTGGTGTAAATTTTGTATTCGGTTGCAGTCCAGACCAGGTTTAACTGCAGCCATTCATTGCCTCAGTCGTGTCGTAGTTTGTCAACTGAGACTAAGACTGGCCTGACCTGAAACTGGGGTATTTAAATCCTTATCTTAGTCCTAATTCTTCAATGTTCGAATGGAGTCCCCACTAGAGCTGTGGTCATGATTTTACTTCTTACAACCAAGGTGTCGAGAATGAATTGTCTGGAATGAGGGACCCAAACCCCGGAAACCCTATCCAACGTGCTTCCTCTCCTCGTAATTCTTGCCTGAGGTTGCGACGACCAGACAAGTGACGATTGGAAACGTGTCTGTCTAGTTCTACGGGTTTTTCATCGTATTTTTCATGATGGTCGACGAGACCTCGAAGAACTATAGTCTGACTGCAAATTTTGAAAGCTCGATGATAGCAGAATCACGAACATGAATACAACCAGGACGTCAATTGAACCTCAACTGGACTGTTGCTGAACACAACATTGAAATCAATCTTTGCCTCGAATCTACTCTATTCACACGATTCAACGTCCAGGTGTTGATCGAGTGGTATTCATCGTCTCATCAGCATGCATTCCTACTTTTATTTCCCTTCAATTGACACGTGTAACTCGAGCACTCGCTGCCGGCGACGATCGGATAGCGATTCACTCAATTTCCCACTAGTTCTATTCAAACATCCAGTCTAATTGAAAGCGGGTGGGCGGATCTATCGTGCCTTAATAACGACGTTCCTCTCTATTTTTTTGTTCTTTCTTTATCTCATCCATAGTTCCACTCCTTGACTTCGTCTCCGTGAGACGTAGGACTCGAATGGCGAACAGGATAGAGAAAACTCACGGGATGGAGATCAGAGGCCGTCGTCAGTCTCGGGAGCCTCTCGAACGCAGGCAGACGGTCGAGAAGGGACAGTAGAGAGCCAGGACTTCAAGCCCACGGTCCTGAAAAACGTCTCCCGGAAGTCCCGAGACAGGAGACAATATATGTAGAAGGTGAGGGAGAAATTCGTGATTTCCAGGACGTTGGCCACTGCTCGGAACACTTCGAAAGGGAATTGATTCATGCGGATTTCGGAGAACATGACGCTCATGACGGCCATGGGAGAGACGCAGACGAAGAAAAGGGTTGAAGTCCCTCCGAGAAGGAGTAGAAGACGTCGCTGATCCGCGAAACTCAGTTGATCCGTCCCGGAGGCGCCTCGGCCCCGAAGGCGGAATCCACGGCGGCGACGACACACTCTCCGATACGCGATGGCGATGCGAAGATTCAGATAGACGAGGATGATGACCGGAGCGATCCGAAACACGGCCTGTAGAATCCAAAGGTAGATCTGATAGACGAGGGAAACGTGGAAAGTTTCGTTGTCCCTCCTGAAGAACAAGGGACGACCGGGATCCGCTGTGGGACAAGTCACGATCCGGGAATTGAGGAGGAAAGGAGCGTGGGAGACGAAACAGAGGATCGGGGAAGCGAAGACGATCATCAAGGACTTCTTCCGGTCGGCTCCGACGTGCTTCTCCGGATGACATATGGCCGTGAATCGCTCCACCGTCAGCGCCATCACCATCATCACTCCGTTCGCTACGGATGTGTCAAAATCCCCTTTACAACGATCCGTTCTCGACGACTGGAGATCTTATTCGAATGCTATGAGCTCTATGGAATGCTATGTCTTTTGATCGGTATCGCATGACCATAGGCGCAACCAGGATGTTTCAACCCTATTCAGTTTCCTCGTTTGTTTTTTCGTTTTTATTTTCTTTATCCTTTTTTTGCGGGGGAAGGCCTCCCATGACCACCAGCGCAGATAGGAAGAGGGAATCCTTGTGGCGCCTATGGTTATGACGATGGTGAGTTCGCGATCCAAGTCGCTTCTCCCGAGGAGGTGCTCTCAATGTTCTCATGTTGTCTCGCGGTGGCTGTCCGGAATGCAGCGCGCCGGGTCCGCGTTCCACTTGCATCGCGAACCTACCGCACGTACTCGGTCCTCGGTCATCGTCCATTCTCGTCGTCTGTCGGACGCGATGGGTCGATGAGAGATGCAGACGTACCCAGTAAGGCGTTGCCGAAATAGAGTTCGAGGTAGACGTGGAAGAAGGCGACCGCGAGGCTTTTCCAGGGACCCACTTCCCTGTGTTCCAGGATTCGAACGCAGAAGAAGACGACGAAAAAAAGGGCCGCAAGCGCTGAACCCGTATAAGCTGGTCGAGGGAGAAAGGAAATTCATCTGCACCGCGGATGGGAAATATTGCGAAGGGGGAAGAAGGAGAGGAGACCTCGCATGTAGTTGTACGAGGCGGCCTTCATGTTGGGTCGGGTGAGAACGAGAAGGTTGAGGGAATTGCCGAGGATCCCGAGGCAGCAGACGATCGGCATCGCCACTCCGTAGGCGTAGTACTTGAGGTTCTCGATCCTCTCTTCCTCCAACCCTCCGTTGATTTTCGCCTCTTCGGTTTCACTCGTCCCGTTGCATTCCCACTCCCAATCTTCACCACCGTCCTCCATCATCCCTTTTACCTTCCTTTCTCTTGATTTTTCTCTTCCAGACCTTCGAAGACATCGAGTGAAAGTACAGATGTACACAGCCTGAGTCTCGGAGCAGGAGAAGGCTGCGAAATAAACGTTCGGAATTAAACTATTGAATAGTAACTCCTTACGTATGCAACCGTACCCCTACTACGTCAGAAACCGAGTCGTTCGGCGACGGTTTGTGGAGGCTCTTCGATGGAAGAAAGCAATGGTATGCCTCGAACCGAGAGTATAACCGACAGCCATAACTTGGTCTCGTCCTTTCCCAATGTGTTTACGTCGTCCGGCCTGAAGAGGATCTGAAAGTCCCCTCCAGGGAATATGAAAAGTGAAGGTTTCAGACGATATTGTTTTGAAGAAGCTAGGCAGCGATGGCGGTCCCGTGGGAAATGTATTTTACGAAGTGTACGGCCTTCAACTGATATCCTCCCTCCCCTTCCCCCTTTTTACCTCTACAATCATCCTCTTCCATTTCGTTCCGTTACTCCATCATCCTCATAAGCAATTGGAAATGGAGGGATATTCGTTTAGGGAGTACAGGTGTCCTTTCTTCCAATCGAGAAAATCTCACCAAGGATCGAAGGGTGAGAACTGAAGGCAGATTTTTTTCCTCTTTTCGGTCGGAACTCCCAGGAAAGTGGTTCCAGAGAAAGAGAACGTCGTCACGACTCCCTACTCGAAAATGACAGAGAAGGAAAATGAGATGTTGAGAAATGTTCATTATGAACACAGAAAAAAAAGGATTATGCTAATCGTTCGTCAGCAATCGCTTCTCTGGTTTGACTCCATTTCTTCCATTTTTTAAATGAATGAACCTTGTTGAGATGATGTCCCCGCTTCCATCCACTTTTCCCTTCTCGACGCCGGTAACGGCCGTAATGTGCATATTTTCTTTTCAGCTTCCTAGCATGTTTTTTCCTCTTCACTCCAGGAAAGCAGACCCCGTAATAAATTTTTTATAGGATATTGCGTTCTAGCAGTTGAATGTCAAGGAAAGACTAAAAAGAAAGCCGGACAAAGGTGAAAGGTCAGAGGCAACCTGGTAATGAACTGTCTTGGATGCAAGCCTGGTCGGGGCACTTCCGTTTCATACAAATTCTTCTCATCTAATTGGGGTTTCCGCGCCTTCGAGGTTGCTGGGGAAAATCCCGGAATTTCATTTATTTTCCTCTTCATCTTCCTTGCCGCTGTTCTCATGGTGTTCCTCGTTGAAACGCTTCCCTTTCCCATGATCGTTGTTCAAACGTCCTCCATTCAGCCTTTTTCCTCCTTGGTCTCACACATTCTCCTTCCAATCCCTTAAGAAGGATTCAACCCTACATTGCTAATGATACAAGAAATCGTAGAAGAGTATTTGCCGGTTTCCCCACCCCTCTTCCTCCTCTTTCACCGATTCTGGGGTTACCTCCATCTCTTTCATGAATGCGGATCCATACGTACAGGGTGTTTCAGGAGTGCTCCTGTTTTCAATATATTCTAGCGTGAGACGAGAGAAAACGAAATGTCGAGAGCAGCCAGTTCTTGCACTACAGACGTACAGCTATGAGAATTCGTTTGAAATTTCGACGCAAGCGCAAGTAACTTTAATGCATTAATTAGACGTCGAAAGACGAAATTACTCGTCGTCAGAAGCTCTAAACCTGAAATTCGCCCCGTTGCTGCATCCTTTATTGGACCCAGCGGCGTACGCAGGATATTAAGATGAGGGGAGGGAGAGAGGGCCTCAGCATTAGGGCAGTTAAATGTGGAAGACGGAAAGGGGTGCGACGGAGGCTGGGGGATTCAGTTCCTTGCGCTCCACCTGCGTATACCACTGATCTCATCCCATCGAAATCCCTCTCCCTACTACCATATCTCGCCCAGAATAACTTCGAACTCATAGGATTCCTCCCTTCCCATCTGATTCCCATTCGATTCCCAATTGGGACACGTCAGAAGACATTCGGAATCAGGCGTTCGAGACGATCCAGCCACCTCGAGTTTCATTCGTCTTTCGCCAGCCCCGTAGAACGACAGTTTATGGGCTGAGAGAACAGCACGTAACATCGCCTCGATCGATACGATCAACACGCTGGGACGCATCTTGAAAGTTGCGATACATTCTCAAAGCAAAATATACGGCAGCCTCAGTACTATGTATTCTTGCCGAGATTAAATCCCTTCTTCGAGAATATGAATTTAAAAATGCGGGCCGACCTAAGAAAGGCACTCGGTATGCGTGGTGCTTTTGCTCTCATATGATGATAGGTTGGAATGATGAAACAGACGATTTTCAATCGAGAAATGGGAAGTGAACGTTATAGTCTGGTAGATATAGGATCGATTTTCTGTACAAGGTTTCCACTTGACGAACGAACCGCAGCATTTCTGGCCTGCCGAGAGAGAAGGATTCTTTGAGGAAACCGGCATGGAAGTTGGCGTCGCGTAGAGAGTGCCATAGATATAGAGCATGTGTGTGCGTCAGTGAGGGATTTCCAATCATCGAGGGATTTCCGAATTCGCGATCCATCCATCCATCCATCAATCCCGCATCGATTTCCTTACGCCCTCGCAACTTCCTTTTTCTCTTCTTTTATCTCCTATTTTCACGCGATTAACTCGTTTTTCTTCCGCTTCCTCCTTCGAGACAAATGAAAGTGAAACAGATGACCCCCTCCTTCCGTTCACTTGCTGTTCCTCGGCCGATCTCGCACCTTTCGAAAGATTTAGGGGAGTGAAAAAAAGTACCATAGTGAAATGAGACTTTCTCGCCCGTGTTTCATGGGAAAGAGAGAAAGGGAGAGACAATTCAATGAGAGACGGGGAGGCACCCGACGAAGCGGACGACCGTCCACCCAGCCACGAATGCTACGAGCGCCTCTGCTCGTGCAGCCCTTCATTAAACATTTAAAATTATTCGCGGTTTACCATCTAACATTTTCCAACTAAACTCTTATCATATTTTCTTCTAATGCTACGTCTATGTAAAATTTCATCGCAAATGTTCTTATTGTTCCGGATGATATTTTATTTTACAGCAACCTCTGAAGAACACAAACCGACCTTATCACTGTCAGTCTCATTTCAACATTGAGTCAATTTTTATTCAGCCTAGTACCAACAATATTGACGTAACATGACGAATATTGAAACTTCAATACTTTTGCAATGTAGAGTCAATGTGCAGACTGAGTCTTTATACCTGAAGCTGTTAGAAACAACCAAAACCAGAGTTTCTGCTTTCGTGAAGCCTGGGAAGGAATGAGGTATCTTTATGAGGGAATATCTGAAAAAAAAAAACATGGAAAGAAATGGGCTTGGACAACTTTTTATTTGATATACTTCTGTGATGGGCAACTCTCTTTCCTTCTCGCCAGATCGTAGATGAAACGAATGCGAGTGCAAGAGTAAGTACTTTGGCTCCAAATCGTGTTGGCAGGATTTTGCACGAATCGGGTCTTTCTCTTCATTTTTTTCCCGTTATGAGCGTTATCAACCCGTGACAGCAAAATTCAGACGAGTCTTTTTGAAACTAGGATGCGTCAAGTTTCGTAACTATCACAGAGATGTGGGGAACTGGAAAGAAATTCAAGGTTCGTCCGTGAGCTCGTCGCAGACATTGAGAACCTATGAAAAAATCGCAATATAGACGTAAGATACTGTACTCATTCGCGAAGGAAAATGTTTGTAAAAACTAAGATTTCAGCGCCAACTTAAAGCAAAGAGATGGGCACAAAGTAAATGATAAGGAATGATGAAAGAGGTACGAGGGTTTCCATGCGAGAGACGTTCAGAAACGTTACGACTGTATCCCCTCGAGAGTGAGCTAACGAGGGGGGGGGGGGGGACCTCACCCATGCATGCACACATCAATTGAGGGAATAAGTAACGTGGAGCGTGATCAGTTTTTCCAATTCCATGGCAGCAGCAGAACGATCAACTCAAGTCGCGTAAACCTCAAGAGAGGATCAATTTGCAGGACTTCATTACTTGTGAATGCGTGAACACGATAGGCAAAGATGTAGTCCCTGCGCCTTGCCCTCAAGAACAATTAAGGAGCAAAGTAATCGTAACTTGGCAGCCGGTGGATATGTTCTCACGAAAATTTTCTTTAGAGGTTTACCTTATTTTACACGAACGCACGACCTCAACGAGGGGTGTCATGATGCGCATGCAAACTTCTTCACGTCCCTGCCCGAATCTACAACCATGACTGAGGAGTGAAGTGACGTTGGGAACGGAGGACATTCCTGACGGTCGACGGCATACTTGGATATGGGTCTGTCCACCATGTCGGACGTGACATAGGGAGTAATATGTTTGATATACAAAATTTATTAAAATGTATTATTATCAACGACGAATCAACATACAAAGGTTGCAACATTTTGTTTTAGGCAGTGACTGAAAATTCCATAATCCAAAGTCTTGTGTATTCTTTTTTGATAGAGGTGTCCCTATGTGCGAAGAAAAGGGTCAGAAATGACATTTCGTGAAACCTCAGATTTAAGTCACTTACTGTAATATTAAAATTCTGTCCCAGAGCGGAACCTAATAACTTAATATTATGCTCATTCTATAGTTTAAATGAAAGTCTTAAATTTGTTTAAGTAACCCCAGGATCATGATAAATGGAAAAGAAAGTAAGGGTGTTTTGTGGCTGTGTTGGATGTGAT